TATCTAAAGTAGGAGAGTTACTGCTGTAATATATCTCCTAAATGTATGTGTCTTGTCCTTGCACAAAGTTGTATCTTGTATAAAGTACATGTAACCTGCAGCAGTTCTGTTTGTCAAACACATTGTGTTTGAGCCTCAACCGTGTGTTGGCTGCCAAACACTTCATTGGGGGAGATAACTTTTCTGAACCACATAACTGACATGGAAGGGAATGGACTGTTGTTACTGTGAGCAAGTCTGGAACAAAACACATTTAGCATTGGATTTTAGTGGACTGGTGTTGGACATCAAATTTACATCAATTATTTATAAAACTAAAGAGAAATAGTCACACTTACAATGGATATTAGTGTGTATTATGAATGTTCATGAGGGAGAGTGAACGTTTAAACCTTTGTTTCCCCACATTGCACCACGTAGCGGACATAAAACAGTGGTAATGTTTGTAAAGCAATATTGTTAAACCATCGCAAACAACGTACTTGGTACAAAATGTCCATTTTACTGCTTTCAACACGAAGCGAATGGGAAGGAGCTGACGCTCCGAGTAACACAACAGGCCACACATTTATTGTTATGCCTCTCAGGAAACCATTGATAAAATCTCATTAAAATTAAAGCTCAATGCTAACAGGCCACAGTGGCAGAGGGGAAAGCAAACACCATCGGCACCCGCATTAATGTTTCTGCAAACAAAGTCCGCGCTTTCGACATATGACATCACCCCTGATGTAGGTAAACCTAATTAAAAGTCCTGCTGACATTTAGATCCGAGACCTCCTCAGTCAAACGCTGCGTCTCATTACCGCTCGTCTGATTCTGTTGTTTGGTCCAAATATTTTCATTAATGTCAATAACAAACAGTATGTCCAACGGAATAAAAAAAAAACTCAGCTCAGGAGAGGTTTGAGGGTCAAGAGGTCAAGTCTCAAACCAGTTTTATTTTTATCTATTCTATCTATTTATCTTTTTATCTATTGTTTACCTTCTGTTTTATGTAGTGCTGTAGCATGTTTTGAGTGTTAGTCTAATCATTTGGAGAAATCACAGTTATTTATTCACACAAATGTCTACATTAAACAAAAATGATTTTTTTTTCTTTACCTGCAGGGGATGCTAAAATGCAGTTTGAATGCTCTGGTAAAGTT